GTTTCCATCGGGTGTGATATGAAAATTAGTGATTTGCTGCAGAGTTGTAGGTGCAGCCCAGAATGAAAATCATTGAGGGAGCTCAGCATGGATTATGATGATAAACTGTTAAGACTTATATTTGATTTGAAACATTTACCTGATGACTATCAGTGTTTGGGTCTGAAGACCCTGTCTGCATGTTAACTGACCCCATGAGGGCTCCTGAAGCCAAGACAAAAAAAATTCAGCTTTAGCTTTCTGATGGACCTGGAAGTGTAATGTCCTTTCATAGTACTGCAGTATTATCTGTTGAAGAAAATGTGTATACAGGTTGTGTTTGCTGTGTGTCTCTCAGCCTACTGGAGTTGGCGTGGATGTGTTTGAAGGCCGGCCAAAGCTGATCGCCTGGAGAGAGCGAGTGAAGCAGGTGCTGGGCGAGGAGCTGTTTGATGAAACTCATGAGAAGATCATGAAGGCGAGCAGCCGGAAGCAGAGAACCCCCCAGATGGAGATGATGAAACCGAGGTTACAGAAGCTACTTGGCTGAGGAGACATCTGCTGTCAGAGATGATACGACTGTGACACACCTTAAACATCATCCTAATTTGTTTCTAATTTCATGGCATGATTTTTTGGCATAATTTCTATGGATGTTTGTCACAAAGTACTGAGAAATCCTGTAACCAGCTTCCAGGTATTAAAATGTGTGGAAGGCTGTGAAGCTGTTCACCCACATTGTGTGGACGTTCTTAAACGTGTTTCTGATTTAGCTGAAGACTCAGTCCAGCTCACAGTTGTGCTCATACTGCAAGTCTCTGCCTGCAGAGATGAAAACAAACAAACAAATGTTGGATATATTCTCAGCCCCTCTGTTTAAACTGTCGCCCTTCTGTGGCCCCTGATTCAGAAAATCCTACATCTGCCCCTGTTGACAGCAGGTAGAGTCAGTAATACATTTGCACAGTCTGCATAAAGTGAGCCCTGCCACAACCGTAGGCTCTGTCTGCAGCAGGTGTAGGTTCGGTCCCAACATAGGAAGGGACAGAAGATTGTGGTTTGCTCAAACCTTAGTAAGGTCATTTCTGTTCTCCCAATATATTGCTAGTGACATGTCCCTACCGCGCATACGCAAAGCTACGCCGGTGCTGCAGGTGGACATAGCCTGTAGTAGGGGGAGTGTTTGGGGGCGTGGTTGGACGCCCCTGTCTGACAGACATGTTGCTTTCTGGGAACCAGTAAGTCTCTCAGCAAGGAGAGGTGGACTCCTGCCAAGACGGAGGGGTCGCGGTGTAAACGACTCCTCTGCAGCCCTGAGATTCGGACACGATGGAGCTCTATCTCGACCTGCTCTCTCCACCCTGCCGCGCCGTATTCCTGTTTCCCAAAGTTGTCGGGATTCCCTTTGAGTTTAAGCATGTCGACCTGCTTTCAGGTAATCCC